TTTTGTAACCTGGTCATAAAAAGAGACTAGATTAGTCAGGCATGATCTACCTGCTACGAACCCGTGCTGGTTTCCCCTCAGCATAATTTGTCCTGCCGGGCTCTCGCAAATGTGAGCCTTGATAATTTTTTCAAAGATTTTGCCAAGGATGGAGGTGAGACTGACTGGCCTATAGTTGCCTGGGTCCTCCTTCCTCCCCTTCTTGAAAATGAGGACCACATTGGCCCTTTTCCAGTCCTCCAGGACCTGGCCCGTGCGCCATGACTGTTCAAATATTCCCACCAGTGGCTGTGCAATGATGTCAGCCAGTGCCTTCAGTACCCTCAGATGGAGCTCATCTGGGCCTGCTGACTTAAACGCATCCAGTTCCTCCAAGTATCTCTGCACCATCTCAGAGTCTACGCTTGGTAGTCAGGCGCCCTGGTAAGATGGTTGAGGAGAAGAGAACTATGGAGAATTGTGAATAAGAAAAGAGGAATGAGGGTTCAGAAAATTGGAGAAGCATGAAAAAAATAAAACAAGAAGATAAAAGATAAGAACATATTGGAACACAAAGAAAGTAAGGGTGTGGATACCACAGGAAATGAAAAGTGAAGAAAAAGACTCTGGTAGGCCCCAATAGTGGCAAGAGACACACGGGTGAAAGCCTGTCATGCTCCCACACCCTGAAGCCCCCCAGCAGCCCCCAGTAACCACGGAGGACTCCCATCTGACCCCCAGCACAGCCAAAGCTAAGGAGAGCCTGTGGTGGGAGGGGGCTAGCATGGCTGTGGGGAGACAGCTGAGAGGAGCTGAGAAGGGTCTCGCCCCACCCCGGTTCCTACTTTGCTCAGCCCCCCAGGGAGCCACGTGAACAGGACGTGCAAACAGGCACGCTTGTCTGTCCAGCGTGTGAGTTAGCATGGGCCAGCGTGCGAGTTAGCATGGCAGTTTGCATAGGAGGGCAAGCAGGAGAGCATAAGGCTCCAGGCACTGAGCCATAGCCAAGCATCTGCACAGTAGTAGCCAGACTACTACAAGGACCATGGTGGGTGGGACACGTAACACCCTGAGGCTCCCCCACTGCACCTGGTCTCCCCTGCTGTGACACCACCAGGGTCTCCACCCAAACGGAGCCCATGGTTCCGGCCTATACCCAAACAGACCCTGTGGTCCCTGCTCTTGCCCAGGCAGGGCCCATGGCCCCAGCCTCCACTCAGACAGAGCCGCTGGCTCCAGGCAGCTGTGTTAGGGAGCATTCATACCTCT